GACTCGGGACATGAGCCCTTCACCAGAGCCGCCCGGGTCGCCCCCGGAGTGCTCCATGGCCTCAGTGGCGTAGCGCCCAGGCGTGGCATCACCGCGAAACGCCATAGCTACGAGCAGCAACCCCCAGCGTAGAGCCTTGGCAGCAGCGGATGGGGCAGGCTTCACATCGGTGGATGCCACATGACGCACAAACGGAGTGAGCCCTGCTGCCGCAGTAGGCACAAAGCCCGCCCAAAGGGAGGTTCCTCCTCCCTTCGTCCAGCCACCCACGGAGAAGCCTCCCCGCTGTGGCTCTGGCCAGGGAGTCGCTCTCCCTGGGCCATGGCTCGGTCCACCTCCGAGACCCCAAACACCATCGCCTCCAGGCCCCCAAGAAGCCACGGAAGGAGACGAAGGGAAGGTCACCCGACTCCACTCGCCCAGGGAGACGTACATCGGGATGATGTCCTGGGCGCGGAGGCCACTGCCTGCTTCAGCCACCATGGCCTCTGACAGGCGATCCTCCTCATAGCACCCATTATAGGCGGCCCAGGCTTCCTCTGCAGATGCACCGTCTTGAACCAAGACTGCACGCCGACACCAGGTTCCGATGAACGGGAACTTGAAGCCGCCCCGAGACAAGTCGCATCTTGCACACTGGTCAACGGTGCATGGTGCAAATTGGAGGTGGGGTATCTCCCCACTAGCAACCAGGGGAATGGGTTCCTGCGTGAAGGGGGCATGCAAGATTTCCACAGCCGAAAGCCAGAGCAGCCGGGCCTGGCCATGATTCCCCTGCTCCAGCAGAGTGCCCACATGGCGCTTGAAGTCGATGTAGGCGCCTGCAGACAAAATCGGCCGATCCGTGTGGACGGCCAAATCAACTCCTGGAACTGCAATCATTCGACAAGTAACCCTTGCCGAACACGCAAAACCAGCAGTTAAAAATTAGCCAGTTTGGATCATACTTGAGCCAAAATGGCCCCGCATGATCCAATACACTCCTTGTAGAATGAAGCCTGTAAACCCAAGCCTTCCAACCTGATACAGGATTAGAGCTCCAGAAGCGACATTTTAGAGACAGCCCTGGAAATGGCCGTTCGTTGATACATTTTCTATAAGAAAAATTTCGTTTTAATTCAATTGTGCAGAACTTGCCATTTGGAGCTCCGCAAGCGACATTTTGGAAACAATCCTGGAAGTGGCCGTTCGTTGATAAAGCTTATGTAAATTCAATTTTAGAGAACTGACTATTTGGAGCTCCAGAAGCAACATTTTTGAAACAGTCCTGGAAGTGGCTGATTGTTGATAAATTTTGTCTAAAAAAAACTTCGTTTTAATTCAATTGTAGAGAACTGGCCATTTGGAGCTCCAGAAGCAACATTTTGGAGACAGCCCTGGAAGTTGCTGTTTGTTGATAAATTTGTATAAAAAAGATTTCGTTTTAATTCAATTGTAGAGAACTAACTGGCCAATTGGAGCTTCAGAAGCAACATTTTGAAGCTAGTCCTTGATAGAACGGCTATTTGCCATTGTACATGCTAGCAAGGCGATGATAAAACGGCCATTGGCCATTGAAGATGCTAGCGAGGCGATGATAAAACGGCCATTGGCAATTGAAGATGCTAGCGAGGCGATGATAAAACGGCCATTGGCAATTGAAGATGCTAGCGAGACGGGTTAAAATTCCTTTAGGGTTTTAATTAATATAGAAAAAGAAGTTTAGGGTCTAGAGGGTATATCAAATGGAGTGAGAAAAGTTTTGTTGGCTTTCCCACCCACCCAGATCGGTTACCCACAACATAGGAGAGTTGTTTGGTTTCTCCAAATTTCAAGACGGGGGTTGCGAACGATAAACTCCACAACTCTGGAAGTCATTGCAAGCCCGGTTGCTTTTTTTGGTGGCTCCACACGAAGAAATTGATGCATCAACGGCCGGCCAGCCCAGACCCTGAAAGCCTAGATAAATAAGGGAGCGGGCTCTAAGCCAAATGAGCAGATCTGTTCATTTCAAGCCCGGATGGCAACTTATACCTTTGCTACATGAACAGATTCAAGCCGATTTGGGATTTTGAAGAGAAAAGAAGCACGAGACCGTCAAACCACATGTGTTGGATGAGACGCTGGCCAAGCCCAGAAAAGAGCCACGTGACCTGATTTGATTTACAAATCAAGCCCAGCTGGCCAAATGACTGGCTACATCTTTACATTTGTTTATCAGCGGCTGGCCAAGCCCAGAAAGGAGCCCAACGGCCAGATCCTTACATTTTCAAGCCGAGCTGGCCGTTTTGACATTACGCCATATGAACAGTTTATCAGCAGCTGGCCAAGCCCAGAAAGGAGCCAGCTGGCTAGATCTTCACACTTCAAGCCAAGCCGTTTTGAGATCAGCGGCTGGCCAAGCCTAAATGACCAGAGCCGCCATATGAACAGTTTATCAGCAGCAGAAAGAAGCAAAATGACAAGATCTTTACATTTCTTGCATATATGAACAGTTTATCAGGGCCAAGCCCGGATTTCGGATTTGGAGAAGAAAAGAAGTAACGGCTGAAGCTGGCCCAGGACAGAATCGAAGGAGCTGGCAAAGGACAGAGCGAAGCCATTTCCTAAGACCTTTCCCTCCCCAAAGGACAGAATCCTCCTTTGGGAGAAGAGGAGGTCAATGAGACCCCGTCAATTTCAGGGCCACTGATACATTGAGGTTTCAATCTCCATTGAAGAGAGAATTTAGGGTTTAGGGTTTAGGGTTTAGGGTTTAGGGTTTGCCCTCGGAAGCGGCGCGCCTCGACTCAGAGGGTCGCGGGGCGGCGCGCCGAGGCGGCTGCTTCAACCCACCCCAATACCGCCCAGAGACAAATCTTTTAGGGTTTAGGGTTTGACTTTGGGCCCCGGCAGCGCGAGTGATAAGGGAAGCGCTTGATCGCGCAGAGACTGAACTGGCAATTGTTCATGTTTTTAAAGTTTTTTTTTGCGTTTTGCATTTTTCCAGTTTTTCGCGGGCATTTGTTGCTCGATTTATGTCGCTGACGTTGACTTTAGAGAAGTTAATTGTTTGGGTTTCAAGTTGTTTTTCGGTGGGAAGGGGGGGGGGCAGGACGGGACAATAATAATGCGCCTGTGTGCCCATTGTTGCGAAAGGCTTGATTCCTGCAGCATCGTTTTTCGCTGGCTGCTCGCCTTCGGAGAGTCGGAACGGAATTGTCTTTTTTCATCTCGTTTGTTGTTTGAGGGCTCGGTGGCTTGCCCCGCCCCACCCCCCCTCCTCCCAAGCCCATCAATGATTGACGTTGTTGCGTTTGCTTGCGCGGGTTCGGTGGCTTGCCCCGCCCGGCCCCCTTAAACAAATCCTTTCGCTGGTTTTGGCGGCATGCCCCATCCAGCAATAGGGTGCCCAGCTCCCCCTTCCTCCAAAGTGAAGCCCGCCAACGATTGAAGTTGTTGCATGTGCTTGTGCTTGCGGGTTCGGTGGCTTGCCCCGCCCGGCCCCTACGCCTTCTGCAAGCAAGAGGGAAGGCGTCTCAGGGCAAAAGAGTCTCACAGGAAAGCTGTGAGCTGACGAACGGACATGCGTGATGCGACGCAAGAGCCGCCCAAGTCGTATGTTTCTTGCGGATCATTTTTTTCAAGCGGATAGATGTGTTTTTGCAGAGCAGATGTGCTTGTTGCGGTGTGCGCTTGCGGGTTCGGTGGCTTGCCCCGCCCGGATCATTTTTTTCAAGCGGATAGATGTGTTTTTGCAGAGCAGATATGCTTGTTGCGGTGTGCGCTTGCGGGTTCGGTGGCTTGCCCCGCCCGGCGCCCACAATGACTTACGCTGGTTTCGGTGGCATGCCCCATCCAGCAGTAAGGATTCAGAAGGGGCGCTTCTGAAACCGCCCTTTTCCGGAAGCGTTCTCAGAAAGGCTTTCGTGTGTAAGGGCGGCTCGAAAAACAAGACTTTCGTGGGAAGTCTGCCTGCAAGCTGCGGGCGCGCGCATTGTTACTACCAGACTTTTAGTGGGGCCTGGCCCCACGCCAAATCTGGACTAGTGACCTTAAAGTTTTCCTGATTGTGCGGTTACACAGACTCAATGGCGACAGCTCAGAAGGCAGTTGTTTTCTATTGCTTCCAAGGTTTGGTCACTGCGGCCCGCTTGCAAAACCATCCGTGCTTGGCAAGTCAAGACGCGCTGTGTTCGCTTGGCGGCTCTTAGACAAGTTAGCAGGCGCGGCCGTGTTTTGGTGGCTTGCCCCATCACTGGCGTGAAAGCTGCAGCCATGTCGATTGCGCTCGTTGCTGGCGTCATCGTAGGTTTCTTCATGGGCGTGGTTGTGCCCATTGGCGGGAAGGGCCTCAAAGGCGGCAGCGCGGCGGGCAAGGGTCAGACTGACGAGCAAGGCAGCCGCAGCAGCGACGGTGTTGGCGGCTTACCTCAGCCAGAGGCCACTGGGAATCCACTTGCAGGAGGCAACGTAGGCTCTGGTGGCTTGCCCCAGCCTGATTCGGCGGACCCTGTGCCGCAGAGCGGCAAGGTCGTGATTGAATGCCAACGGGCCGCCAGCGAGTCCGAGGCCGGACCTGGACATTCTTGACGACGGTGTTGCTAGGCAGCTGCAAAACTGCATCGCGCAGTAGCTTGTGCGTTGGTTAGCCTAGCTGGAAGTGTTTCGGCGGCTCCTTGCCTCCTTTGTTGCCCGCACAGGGCTCGCAGTGGCGGCCGATGGACGACTTCTTAGTGGTTCATCGATGGTTGCAATTTTGTGCCCAGGCCGGCGGAATGTTGGCTGTGCACATGCTTGTTGCATTTTAATTCATACATATTCCCGCCTGCGCGGCCAGCAATGCATCCACCTGACTCGGAAACCGTGCGTGAAAACAGCCCTGCCGCCCACAGTTCATTCTTGACGTGGTATTGCCACATTCAAACAGAGAGCCCAACAGCATTTCACATTCATGGATTAAACTGCAGGCATGCAGCGTGATCGGGTTTCAACATTTGTCTGCCGCAGGTCTGACGCCAGAAGCATTGCTGGGTGGCTTCATGGACGCCACCGGGGGCGCGCTCAACAAGCAGGTGCGGGTTCTGCACGTTCAGATGGAAGAGAGCAGCTACTTCCAGCGGTACGGGAAAGTTGATGGAGCAATTCTATTGCGTCACCAAGGATTCCCTTGACATGCCCATCCGCAACCGGAAGCATTTTCCTGGCACCAACCGAAGCAATACGTTGGGGCCGGTGGTAAGCCCGCCACTGACAAAAGAGCAATCTCACATGATCCCATGGAAGGTCAAGAAGGGTGTGGTCTGACAAGTGCAAAGGAAGCTGCAAGGTTGGCGGGGCCGCGCCTGCGGGGTCTGAGTCCTTGATGAGGAAGCCGGACACCCTGGAGCCCCTGTCTTTCCATTCGCAGCCATGGCAATTGTGGGCAGAGTTCATTCATTCGCACAATGTGCAATGTGTCATTGACTTCACGGTGGGACCCGGGTACGCTGCCGAGGCCGCCCTTATGGAGAAAAAGCCTTTCTTAGGATTCTGCCAGACTAGTCTTAACATGAATGTCGTGCGGCAGTACCTCTTCGGCCGCTTGTGGGCACACATGCAGAGCCCAAGCAGTCAGTATTACGCTGCAGAGCTGCGCGACGCTCTGCAGGCCAGTGCTTTGTTTTATGCACAGACGCAGTGTTTATTCTGCTGCTTTAATATTTCAAACCAGTCTGAAACCAAGTGGTCTCGCCGTGCCTGCCAACCACGACGCAGGCGGACAGCGGTGACAGCAACTTGACGAGGGGCAAGGCCGGAGGAAAAGCGCCGCCGGTGAGCAAAGCCAGGCTGGGCAGCTTGGCCCAGTGCCTCCTCCTGCCAAGAACGGGGGGGCAGGGCCGCCGAACAGTGGCTCGGCGCTGGTCGACCTGGTGGAGAACATGCTGAAAGCTGCGCCGCCTGCTCCAGGCGCCGGACCAGCCCCCAAGCAGGCAGACGAGTCAAGGCTAAGGCTGCCGCGCCGCCGGCCACTGAAGACCCAGCCGAGGAAGAGGAGGACGACCCCACGGACAGGGAGCCCAACTGAGCCGCAACGCTGGGCTTTTGCGCGCTCTGCCGCGTAAGTTTGTGAGTTTGGTAACCATGATGTGGCTCAGGCGGCGTGCCCCGGCCCGCGTTGGTGGCTTGCCCCAGCACATTGGATTTGTGTCGGCGGCGTGCCCCCGCTGCTCTGCTGCAGAGAGATGTCAAACGCAGATCGAACGGTGCTTAAAACATGCGGCCAGCCAAGGCAGGACGTCCGGCGTCATGAAGTGCTGAGGATCAAGGGTTGCCGAGAGACAGTCCGGTCACGTCCATCCAGTTTCCCACATGACACGTACACTCGCCCGATGAGCTTGGCCCGCGGAAAAAAACTTAAGTTTTTTTCCACAGACCCCATTTGTCCAGAGGGTCTCCGGTTTCCATAAGTTGTCTCCACAAACCACAGCGCTGCGGACCGTCGAGTGGACTACAATTCTTGGATTTCGGGGAACGCAAAATTCCCGGTGTTCGAACGTTTCTAGTTCTTTGGACAGTCCACAGCGCTGCGGCTTGTTGAGTCGACCTTCGGATTCCAGAGGCCCTCTGGACAGGAACTTCGTGCGTAAACTTAAGTTTTTTTCCGCAAGCGCCCTCTGGACAGAGCTCTGGCCCAAGCTGCCCGGAATGTCCGCGCAGAGCGCATGGGCCCGCTTTGGCAGGCGGTGGACCGAGCAGTTCCCGTGGCTGGAGGCTGTGCAGTGGGACACAGGCGACTTCTCCGTCAGCTGTGCTGCCTGCAAAGCTGCTGGGCATGTGTCAGCGGAGTTTCGAACCATTGCTTCATTGCAGGTCAGCCACTTCCGAGACCATGAGAAAACCAAAAGGCACCAGGCCGCAGCATCAAATGAAGACATCCGACTGCGCCTGATGGCCCCATCTCTCGAAGAGTTCATCGCAGTTCTGCGAGCTACACGCAAGGGAAAAGATGGCGGTGATGATGGGATTGCCTGGTCCGGCGGCAAAATCCTTCGCCGCCGAGCCCAGAAGCTCAAGTTTTGCTTGGCCGAGTCGCTGCGGGCTCGCGCGCGACAAACGCTCAACGCTGCCTCCTGCGTCACTGTGCACTCGGACTGCTCAAAGACGATCCTTGTCTTGCGAGGGCAAACGTGCGCAGAGGAGTTGCGTCTTCAGCACATGCTTCTGGGCGCACGGAAGCTTCATGACTTCTCTGCGGTCGGAGTTGCCACGGCTGTTGTGCATTTGCTTCATGATTTGGCCACCCCTTTTGCTGTTGCAGAACAATTCAAGGACTGCCTGAAGCCAACTGTGCCAGCTCAGGTGGCTTGTCCCCAGCTGGACGCAGTTGCGTTTCAGCAGTGGCTTGGGCGCGTTGAGGTGTTCAACGCCGACGCAGCAGCCGACGAGCAGCTGGCGGGACAGCTCTTGTCGTCGGAGCACGAAGCTTTTGCTCAGCTATACTGCGATTTGGCAGACATGGGCACGGGCACGCTGCAAGTCTTTCCGAACCTGAAGTTTGTAAACAAAGACAAGCCCCACGCAGCCCGCAGGACCCTTTTTTGTTTGTGGCCATGCGATTTTCACCGCATGTTCTTCGAGTGTACTGGCCCTTCTGCCAGGATAGCGAGTCGCACTTGGAAGTGTGACCCTGTGCTGGACACGTTGGTCAAAAAGGTAGTGATGAACAAAGGCAGCATCGTCCAGCTGATCCACCACAGCGACGTTGTGCGGGTGAAGTATGCGCAGGAGGTGCGCGCCATGCAGCACAACCCGATGTGGAAGCAGAACTCGTCCAAGTTCAGCGCCGCCAAACACCGCTTCGACACCTGGGCGACCCCCTTTGCCAAGTTGTGCCTGACAATGGAAGCTGTTCTATCAACAGCGCAGTCCCTACATGATGAAAGAAAACAAGAAAGGGTAGGCGCTGCAGCAAAGGAGTTTCTGATGCTTGCCACGGAGGAGAACTTGGTGCTTTTGGGCATGCTAGCTGACGCTGGAGAAGAAAATCTTCAGCTGGTGCGTTTTCTGGACAGCGAGACGCTAGACAACAGCCAACTGTGTGCGGACTTGGGCCGGTTCACGACGCGGATCACCATGCTTTTTGATCAGGGGGGCTGCCTGAGGACCGGCTTCACGCAGCACGTGCTGCAGCTGCTGTCAACGCAGCGGGTGCTGTATGTGGATCGCCAGCCCCGGCGGCTCGGCGGTGCGCCGCAGCATCAGATGGCTCAGACAGTTGCGTCCTGCTTGCAGCGCTTCAAGGCATGGACCGCTTTGGCCAAAGACGTTGTGTCGGCGGAGTTCCCGTGCTTCGAGGCCTTGCAGACTTTCAGCATCTTCCATCTACGGCCTTTGGCTGAACAACAGCGCTTCATGACTGCGGGGGAGGAGCGCGCCGACATAGCCACAAAGGTGCACAAGCTCGCTGTGCTGCTGGGCGTGCCGGAGTGGTTCACGAAACATCCAGGTATGAAGCAAGGTAGCCAGGCCACTGTGAAGAGGAACTTCACGGGAGGTTGTTTTTTTGTTCACCCCTTCAGGGATGCAAACGGCCGGAGTGCGTGCGTCTTGGGGGGGCAAGTTGCGCAGCCAAGATGTTCTCAGCTGCCGCACGCAGTCAGCGCGCTCTCCCAAAAAAAGCTGGCATAACCCCATGACGGCTGCCCAGGCACGGCCTAGCTCCACCAAGGTTTGAAAAAGACTGGCCAGTTGCTGCGTGTCCAGAGCTTCCCTTCCAACGGGTGGAGCTTTTTTCTTTTTTGATAGGCAGGCGTCTAATTGCGTTTGACCACAGAACTTTACAGTCTGACAGTGGCTTCTTAAGGGCCGACATTGCTCAAGATCCACTTCCTCACGGCGAGCTGTGTGGCACTTGTTCTTCACGTCCTTCTTGGCTCTGCACTTCTTGTAGGAGCAAAGCTGCTTCACTGCGCTGCCTTTTTTGCGAGCAGGCCCCCGTGCCATTGGTAGACTTTCTCACGCTATTTCCCTTCTACGAGCAGTTCAACATGTCAGAGCCGAAACTTCAAAAAACCAAACAACACTTGCAGGCAGACTTCCCACGAAAGTCTTGTTTTTCGAGCCGCCCTTACACGCGAAAGCCTTTCTGAGAACGCTTCCGGAAAAGGGCGGTTTCAGAAGCGCCCCTTCTGAATCCTTACTGCTGGATGGGGCATGCCACCGAAACCAGCGTAAGTCATTGTGGGCGCCGGGCGGGGCAAGCCACCGAACCCGCAAGCGCACACCTTTCGCTGGTTTTGGCGGCATGCCCCATCCAGCAATAGGGTGCCCAGCTCCCCCTTCCTCCAAAGTGAAGCCCGCCAACGATTGAAGTTGTTGCATGTGCTTGTGCTTGCGGGTTCGGTGGCTTGCCCCGCCCGGCCCCTACGCCTTCTGCAAGCAAGAGGGAAGGCGTCTCAGGGCAAAAGAGTCTCACAGGAAAGCTGTGAGCTGACGAACGGACATGCGTGATGCGACGCAAGAGCCGCCCAAGTCGTATGTTTCTTGCGGATCATTTTTTTCAAGCGGATAGATGTGTTTTTGCAGAGCAGATGTGCTTGTTGCGGTGCGCGCTTGCGGGTTCGGTGGCTTGCCCCGCCCGGATCATTTTTTTCAAGCGGATAGATGTGTTTTTGCAGAGCAGATGCTTGTTGCGGATTTGTTTAAGGGGGCCGGGCGGGGCAAGCCACCGAACCCGCGCAAGCAAACGCAACAACGTCAATCATTGATGGGCTTGGGAGGAGGGGGGGTGGGGCGGGGCAAGCCACCGAGCCCTCAAACAACAAACAAGATGAAAAAAGACAATTCCGTTCCGACTCTCCGAAGGCGAGCAGCCAGCGAAAAACGATGCTGCAGGAATCAAGCTTTTCGCAACAATGGGCACACAGGCGCATTATTATTGTCCCGTCCTGCCCCCCCCCCCCCTTCCCACCGAAAAACAACTTGAAACCCAAACAGTTAACTTCTCTAAAGTCAACCTCAGCGACATAAATCGAGCAACAAATGCCCGCGAAAAACTGGAAAAATGCAAAATGCAAAAAAAAACTTTAAAAACATGAACAATTGCCAGTTCAGGAGACAACACGCCCGCAGCGCAAACGCTTGAAATTCGCAACTTTATTATTCTGCGACGGCTTGCAGCGCCGGCCACGTTGCTTGGCCTTCCTAAGACGCGGGCACTTGTAACGCAGCTGCCGGCGAGGGGTTTGGCAATTTCGCCGCTAGCAAGAGGCGGGGGATAGTTCAGGCGAAGGCTGCAGCGATTTCATCGCTGGCGCTAGAGCGCTGCAGCTGCATCAAGTTGAGTTGCAGAAACGTTTGGGAAAGTTGCAGCTGCGCCGGCTTGAGCACAAAGCTTTACTGCGCTTGACTGGGGCGGTCGCGCGCGCCTGGGCCTCGCAAGGGGTCTTCGCGCGGAGACGCGAAGTTGCTCTGCTTGAGGCTTGCAAAGGAGCCGACGGTTGCAACGACTTCGAGCACGCGTCGGGCCATAGTGGAGGCCAAGGCTGCAACGATTTCCTCGCTAGGGGTTGCAGATACGTTCAGGCTGGCACGCTGCTTGGTCGACTCGCCGCGGGCTGCGCCTTCGTAAAGAGGTCGGCGACGAGCCGTCGGGGAAGCGCAAAGGCTGCAACAAGCCGTTGTCCGTTCGCTGGCTGTGTTGGAAGCGCACCGCGCGGCTGCGCCCACGGGGCAGCTAGGGGCCATCGTTCAAGCACGGCTTCTGCGATGTCATCGCGAGCGTTGGGGGCCATAGCGCAGGCCACGGCTTCAATGATTTCGTCGCGGGCGCGCTGGCCTTGTAAGGAAAAGCTTTGCGAGGAAAACGGCCGGAACAGACCTGTCCTAGTTGGGCGTTCTGTGAGACACTGTGACGTGACGGACGAGGAAGGAGGCTTTGGATTGAAAGCTTGCGATTGCAAGTTTACCGGCAATGGCCCGTTTATCAAGGACGGCCATGCCCAATGGCCGTTTTATCAAGGATTTTAGGAAAGACTTTTCACCTAGGTCAGGGTCTAGGACCTAGGTTTTAGGGTAATAAAATATTGCTTCGCATATTATGTGCCTGCAGGCACGGGCCCAAGAGGAGGGAGGCCCTTGGGGCAGCTGCATACTTGCTGGCGCTGTCTAGGCAATAGCTCGGAGCTATTGCCCGGGCGCTAAGCGCGCCGTGCGCTCACGACTCCATGGCGCTCTAAGCGAGCGGTCAGTCGTCGCGAGCTTAAGTTTAGGGTTTAGGGTTTAGGGTTTAGGGTTTATAGGGTTTGCCCTCGAAGCGGCGCGCCTCGACCCGAGGCGGCTGCTTCCACCCACCCCAATACCGCCCAGAGACAAATCTTTTAGGGTTTAGGGTTTTAATTTGGACCCCGGCAGGGCGAATGATGCGGGAAGCGCTTGATCGCGCAAAGACAACAAGCCCGCAGCGCAAACGCTTGAAATTCGTCTTTATTCTGCGACGGCTTGAGCTTCGCGCGCGGCGGCCACGTTGCTTGGCCGATTCACACCACGTCCTAAGGAGACGTGGGCGCTTGTGACGCAGCTGCTTGAGGCTCGCGCAGGCCGCGAGGGGTCGACGGTTGGCTGCGGCGATTTCGCCGCGAGCGAGCGGCGGAGGATAGTTCAGGCGAAGGCTGCAGCAATTGAGTCGCTAGCGCTAGCCGAGCGCTGCAGCTGGAGCGAGTTGAGTCGCAGAAGCGTTTGCCGCGTGAAAGTTGCAGCTGCACTGGCTTGAGCCCAAAGCTTCAACGCGCTACTGGGGCGGTCTCGCGCGCTTGGACTTCGTAAGCTCTGCTTGAGGCTCCCAAAGGCTGGCAAAGGGCCGACGGCTGTAACGACTTTGAGCAAGCGTTGGGCCATAGTTGAGGCCAAGGCTGCAGCGATTTACGTTTATAAAGAAGGCGCAGCTGCGACGGTTGGAGCCCAAAGCTTTGCACAGGCGCCGTGTCAGGCAGCTCGCTGAGCATCACCGGGGCGGCCAGCGTGGAACCTCGGCCACCGGAATCACGGGCAGCACACTCACCATCAACAACACGGCCAGCGCCGGGAACTTCACCACGGTGGGCGACGTGTCCACGGGCACGCTGACGGCCTCAGGCGCAGCAACCGCGGCGAGCTTCGCAGCCACCGGGGCGCCACGTCACTTGGTCGACTTGCCGCAGGCTCCTTCGTAGAAAGGAGTCGACGCGCGGGCGATCTGCTTTGCAGGCGAGCAAGAGGTCGGCGACAAGCCGTCGGCCGTTCGCTGGCTGCGTTGCACAGAGGCTGGCAACAAGCCGTCGTCTGTTCGCTGGCTGCGTTGGAAGCGCAGGCGGCGGCGACAAGGGGCCATCGTTCAGGGCGCGGCTTCTGCGATTTCATCGCGAGCGTTGGGGGCCATAGCGCAGGCCACGGCTTGAACGATTTCGTCGCGGGCGTGCCTTGCCTTATAAGGAAAACTTTGCAAGGCCGGAACAGACTTGTCAGGAGGCCGAAAGGGCAGACCCTTTCATGTTATCAAGGGTTTTTGCCGAGCGGCAGCCCAATGGCCAGATCTCCCACATTTGGGCCACGGATGGCCAGATTCATATGACCCCGTGTAAAGAATTTATCAGCGGGCAGGAAAAGCATTTTCAGCCCCGACGGCGGCTTTATCAAGGCCAGTTGCCATTTTATCAAGGCCGATGGCCATTTTATCAAGGCCGATGGCCGTTTTATCAAGGCCAATGGCCATTTCATCAAGCCAATGGCCGTTTTATCAAGGGGCGCAACTTTAGAGCCAGGTTAGGGTCTGAGCTTCGCGCGCGGCGCCGATTCACACCACGTCCTAAGGAGACGTGGGCGCTTGTGACGCAGCTGCTTGAGGCTCGCGCAGGCCGCGAGGGGTCGACGGTTGGCTGCGGCGATTTCGCCGCGAGCGAGCGGCGGAGGATAGTTCAGGCGAAGGCTGCAGCAATTGAAAGCCGAGCGCTGCAGCTGGAGCGAGTTGAGTCGCAGAAGCGTTTGCCGCGTGAAAGTTGCAGCTGCACTGGCTTGAGCCCAAAGCTTCAACGCGCTACTGGGGCGGTCTCGCGCGCTTGGACTTCGTAAGCTCTGCTTGAGGCTCCCAAAGGCTGGCAAAGGGCCGACGGCTGTAACGACTTTGAGCAAGCGTTGGGCCATAGTTGAGGCCAAGGCTGCAGCGATTTACGTTTATAAAGAAGGCGCAGCTGCGACGGTTGGAGCCCAAAGCTTTGCGCAGGCGCCGTGTCAGGCAGCTCGCTGAGCATCACCGGGGCGGCCAGCGTGGAACCTCGGCCACCGGAATCACGGGCAGCACACTCACCATCAACAACACGGCCAGCGCCGGGAACTTCACCACGGTGGGCGACGTGTCCACGGGCACGCTGACGGCCTCAGGCGCAGCAACCGCGGCGAGCTTCGCAGCCACCGGGGCGCCACGTCACTTGGTCGACTCGCCGCAGGCTCCTTCGTAGAAAGGAGTCGACGCGCGGGCGATCTGCTTTGCAGGCGAACAAGAGGTCGGCGACAAGCCGTCGG